TGGCTCTGTACTGACAGCAAAACTGTAGGTTAAATAACATCTTTTAACTTTTGAGGATGAGAAGTTTGGTGAAATCCCATCGCATTTCACTGCAAAAGAGGGGATGTAACATGAGGATGGGAGTTCTAGGAGAGTGTCTCTATTATGGAAACAAACCGTGTCATCAATTCCAGCAATCCCAGCTCATGATTCACAGCAACAAGACTCATCATGGCAACTATATATTCAGTATTATATGCAGCATATCAGTCACACTTTTAAATTGTATATACTCCATTATTGTATATATCTTTAGTTACCATGTGTAACTGCAGACTCGTGTATATACATGGGGACACTGATTAGTGCACACCCAGATCCCATACCCCTGGGTGTGCACCCCCATATAAAAAAAAAAAGTTGGACCAGGTGATGGGTTTTTTTTTTTGTTTATATGGTGTGTGTACACCCGGGTGTGTGGGATCCGGGTGTGCACACATCATTATCCATATACATGGTTCAGTACTGTGAAAGTGTGAATAAAGATCATCTTTTTCATTCTCAAAGGCTTTGTTCTATTAGTCTCTACCTTACTGACATTGCTTCTTATGATAGGTTTGAAGTATGGGTGATGAAGGAGTAAGGGATTCAAGATTCGTGGACCAAGGAAATTGTCATCGAAAATCAAGGGCTTCATGTATGGCCAAGGGGCTTATACCAGCCTATTAAGTATCTGCAAAGTGGGGATGTTCTAATGTCTCATCCGAGCAATGCTCTTGTTGCTTATAATCCTCTAAAAAAATCTTTTTCAGGTATTTCAAGATTAAAGGGATTCAATCCGACTTTGAAGCAATTTCATCTGCTCCAAGCCTAGTTTCACCTAGGATTCTTTGATGGGAGAGAATATGGAGGTGGGAAATTTCAATTCAAGGTAAACACATCCATTTCACACAGCTGACAAAGCTTCTCGTTATCTTTGCCAGCTATCCGTGAGTTCTTTTTTGCATCAAAAAGGGAAAATCAAAAAAATTGTTACCATCTTGCAATTGAAATGAATATGTTTTCCTAATGTTATATAGAGGTACTCTATGTCACAGATTTGGGAGGATGATAAAGCACTTCACTTCGTGGAAGAAGACAAGACAAAAGAATTAGATCCTTATTGGATTAGTTATCCGTTAATTTGATCATGAAAGTTGGATCATATTGAGTTTCTTTCATTTCTTGATGTGGAATGCTTTTGTGCCTTTTGTAATCCTTCCTGGCGAACGGACTTAGGAGCCATTGATCTTTTTGTTTTGTAGCAACTAATTAGAAACTTCTTTACCCAAATTCTGGCCCTATTTATTGCTTTTTTGAAATTTTACTCATTGTAGTCCTGAAGATGTGATAGACTTAGAGAGGAGCTTGCTACTATTGCTTTTGTTTGATTGAAATGCCATTAGATGATAAAGTTCTGATGATCCATTCGTCTGTTCAGATTAATATGACCCAAAATCAATCATAAACAAGTACCACAAATATTAATGGGCTCAAAGTCTTTCCTCTAACCTGTTGTCCTCGAGTCCTGCTTCCATTCATTTCACTTGTTTGTGCTCTCACATGGATTCCTCAATGCAACCAAGCATGACCCAATCGTATCTTACCTGACCAACAGGAATTAAGCTGTGGAAGTTGTACTAAAGCTGGGCCTATGTTTCCTATGAACCAACTCAAAGTAAATGCTAAATGGTATATAATCACGTGCTGTAATTCTATGGCATTGAAACCCAATACGAGTGAATTCCATTTATTCCATGCTCTGTTTAAAGTTGGCCAACAAGATGGATGCCATCAAGGACGAAGGCACCCTTCGCATTGAAGACTAGAGCACTAAATGAGTCGAGCAGCTCTTGAGCTAACCGCAACCTGTTCCCTAAGAGCTCTAAGTAACAAACAAACACGAGCTTGAGCTTGATGCTGAGCTCAATAATATATCATCAAGCTACGTGTAATGATTTTGTTTCATTCTGAGAAGGCTTTTGTTTATCTTTTGAATGGTCGTAAGGATTAATGTAATGTATTTATTTATTTATTTTTATTTGATAATTGTTATGTAATGAATTTCTATCAAGTATAATAAAAAGGAAAAGATGCACTGGACTTCTTCATTTATCATTGTTCCAATCTTTCTTCAACAGGAAAAACAGAGGGAAGTAGGTTGAACAAAAAAACACAGCAGAAATTGACCCAAGTCTCGCAAAAACAACTTCTATTCTAATCAGGTCCCGGTATGATTTTCCGGACATCATCAGCCGCAGTTACCGGGCCCGATTCCCACCTTACTTCTCTGGATATCATACAAAACATTTAGCTTTTGCAGCTGGTGGTTAC